CCAAAGCCCCCTCCCAACCGCTTCAGTATCGTCTGCCTTGTAGAGGGAGCAAGTGGTACACAGCTTCAAATACGTTTGTGGGGAATTTTCACCATCTTTTACTTCTGTTTGCCCGTAGTGAGCCTGGTGCCGTGGATGGCGCAGGTTGTAGAGTACTGTGGTGTTGGTTCCTCGGCTCCACCCGCAGTGAAACGGCCTGGCGGAGGGAAACACCCCCCGTCCTGCGCCTCCCTCGCAAGTGTTTGAGCCCATTTGTTGCAGCCATGGTGCACACGGCCGTCCTCTTTCTCACTGCCCCTCTGCTTTACCAAGCAGGATGCCCTCCTCCAGGGACTGGTCTCTCCTGACACTAGGTCCAAAGTATGTAAGGTGAAGTCTCACCTCCAAGGACTTCTTCCGAGACAGGCGTGTTTGTCCTTTTGGGAGTCTGGTACTTTCAGCGTTCTTTTCCAAGAACACGATTCAGGTGCATCCATCCTTTCAGTCTTCCTCACTCAGTGTTCTACTTTCCCATGCGTGTGAGCAGATGCAAAATGCCACGGCTTGGGTCAGCCGCACCCCAGTCCTCAAAGCAGCATCCTTGTGTTGCCACACTCTTGTGGACGCGGTCTTGTGCGGCACATCTATCTACCCAGTGCAACGTGTCTTTTGATCTCTTGACTGCTTCCTCCGTTACTCTGTCTGCAGGGAGCGTCGTGAAGTCGGAAGACTACGCTCTCCCATCCTACTCGGACCAGCGAGGCTACCCCTTGCCCGATGTGGCCCATGTCCAGAGCCTCTCTGCCCAGCAGAAGGCCCTGAAGGAGAAGGAGAAGGCCGCCTGGAACACGCTCTCTGTGGACGAGAAGGTTGAATGTGGGTAACAGTGAGGGGAGCCTCGCTGGGTCATTGCTTCACCCCACCCCAAACAAAAGGTGTGGGTCACTCGTGCCTTGCAGAGGGGGCTGGACAGTTGCTGACAAGATCCCCAAGTTCTAGTCCTGGCTCAGGCTGGTGCATGCACACAAGTGTCTGAGCATGTGTGTGTGAGGCCATGGGCCTGGGCCTCCAGCCCCCCAATCAGATGAGTTGTTGGGGTGAGTGTCCCCCCTCACTGCCCCTTCCCCCGCAGTATACCGCATCAAGTTCAATGAGAGCTTCGCGGAGATGAACAGAGGCACCAACGAGTGGAAGACGGTGGTGGGCGTGACCATGTTCTTCATCGGCTTCACCGCATTAATTGTCATGTGGGAGAAGCGCTACAGTGAGTGGGGCTGTGGGGGAGGGCCTGGGGTCCCGGCCGGGGGCCTCGTGGGCAGTCACTGTCAGATGGTTGACCAGAGGACATGGGAGGCTGACAGACAAGCCAGGGTCTGACCAGGCACCAGGGGTGGACGCTCCCCATGCTGTCGCCTGCCAGGGTGGGGGTGGGGGGAGTGGCCTGCTGACCAAGCCACCAACAGGCTGAGCTTCCCTCTGTGGTCTGACACCCTTTCCCAGGGGTTCTGTCAGGCACAGTAGGTGTCCTTGCTCTCCGGACTTGACCCTCTGAGTCAGCCGTGGCTGTGCTTGCTGCTTGCCGAGCCCCGTGTAGGCGGCACTCTGGGCTCAGTACACTTTGTGAACAGAGGGGGTCATTGAAAATGCCCTGGCTGTCAGCCCCATGTGGAGCCCCATGTTGGGGACGGAGCGGGTGGCTGACGGCCCACTCATGCTCACAGTGTACGGCCCCATCCCGCACACCTTTGAGGAGGAGTGGGTGGCCAAGCAGACCAAGAGGATGCTGGACATGAAGGTCAGCCCCATCCAGGGCTTCTCCGCCAAGTGGGACTACGACAAGAACGAGTGGAAGAAGTAAGGGGCTCCCCTCAGCCAGCCGCCTTCACACAGCCTGGCGCACTTTCTGGAAACTGCTTTGTAACGGAGACAATGCTAATAAATGACCTGTGTATGTGACTTCCCTCGCGCTCCCGTGCTGTGAGTGAACTAGCGTGGCGTGTCTGGCGTGTGCACACCTCTTGACTGACAAACCGTGGGTTCCCGTTGTTTAGGGGACGTTGTGTCTAGAGTTAAGGACACAAAGTTCTTCATGGTGGACAAGAGTCAGGTCTCCTAGGGGCCAGACCAATAGGCCCCTTCCCATCAGCAGCTTGGGAAGGGTGGGGGAGGGAAGCCCCTGGCTGAGGTCTGGAGTGACCCATGCCCTTGTTCTCAGTTTCTGGCCTGCTCTGAGCCACTACCGCCCCTCCCCCTTGTCTCCATTTAATCCCCCGGCACACAGGGTGGAGGAGGCATCCAGGCTCCCGAGGGTGCTCCTGTTGGCCCAAGATGGTTTTGGGGGAGGTCCTGCTTAGAGGAGCCCAGTTCCCCTTGAGTAAGTGCTGCTGGGACAGCAGAGGGATGGATGGGGCCCTCAAGGCACTGGCCCTGCTGTCCGGAGGAAACAGCCCTGGGCTTGAGCTGTGGTTTGCCTGGGGGAGGCTTCTGGTAGGGGCCCTGCTGTTCCTCAAAGGGCGCCCTGCCCTCCCTGGAAGATGAAATGCCAGCAGCACTGAGTGGGGGGTCCCTTACCCAGAAGGCTCAGACTACACAACTGCCCTCTGAGCAATGCCAAGGCCAGCTCCTTCCTAATGAGATCGCTAGGAGGCCGCACACCTGACCTCATTCCGGGTCAGCCTACCCCCTGCCCTGAAGCCCCTGCTTGGAGCCAGGCAGGAGTGGAGGCTGACAGGCCCTCAGGAATTCTGCGTGTGCCTGGGGATGCCCTGACCCACCAGTCACCTGAGCCAAACTGGGGGTTTCCATGGAGCGGGCAGCCCTTCCCCACCGTGCCCTCCACCACCCGGGATTGGCTGAGAGGCTGAGTGCACATCTGTGTCCAGATGGCGACAGTAAGGAGCCTGTTCTTCCCCAGGTGCTGCGTGGTATCGCCCATTTGCTGACACTGGGTAGGGCCTTGTCTACTTGCCCCTCCCAAGGCTCCCTGCCTGGACATGGGTGAGACAGCAGCCCACGTGGATGACGAGGCAGGTGGGGGTGGGAACTGGCAGGCAGGCCGGGAGCCCTCCCTGGGGAGGTGGCATTTACTGGGGAACTTCAGCATGGGAAGGGTCTTGGAGGGGCTGGTGTGGCCGGGGAGCCATCGGCACTCATAGGGAGAAGAGTGACAAGGAGTTGGGGAGCAGGTGCCAGAGAAGATGGAGTGGTTTGAACCCACCAGCCGCCTCCAGCACAGGAGAAAGGAAATTGCCGTGAGGCAGTTCTGTCCTGTCCCCCCATGTCAGTGACAGTGAGCTCGGTTTTCTCTGGATTCCCCCAGCCCGTGGTCACCACAGACCCTTGTGACTGAAGCTGTTGGAACCAGAGCCTTGGGGAGCCACCCTGTCCTTGTATTCCCAGGCCTGGGCGGCAGAGGGAGCTCCGAGATCAGGCATCCAGCTGGCAGTGAGGTCATTCAAACCAGGGGACTGAAGTCCTGCCAGAAAGGGAGCAGGCGGGGATTATCCCTGACTTGTCCCACAATCCAGAGGGCCAGGAGTGGCGGCACCTTGTCGGCCCACCTTCCTCAGCCAGGGTCACCCAACAGACCCCTCCCTAGCCCTTGGGGCCCCAGGGATAAGGGACACTTCCCTGTCGCCTGGGCTGACTCGAGAGGCAAGGGCTCCGTTCCACAAGCAGCACCCACATGTGCCCCTGCTGGCCACATGCTGCCAGCCCCTGCAGGAGGCATCTGAGGTGCCTGTGGGGGCTGAGGGTTGGAGGGATGGTGGTGGTCCTCCAGGTACAAGTGGGCTCTGGTCCCCAGTAAGGAGGGTGGGGCTGGGTGCCTGTTCTCACTGTCCCAGGGCAGGAAGCCCTCCACCTGCCCAGACAACTTGCTCCCAGAGCCTGGTTTTCACTGTGTACCATCCACCTCAAAAAAAAAAGTTTGCCGGGAGGGTGGAGGGAGGGTGGGGTGGAAAGGGGGAACAGATTACAAGGATCTACATAAAACCTCCTCCCTGGGGGATGGACAACAGAAAAGTGGGTGAAGGGGGATGTTGGACAGTTTAGGATATGACAAAATAATTTATACAAGGGTTCATGAGGGAGTGGGGAGGCGGGAGGGAGGGAAACATGAGCTGATGGCAAGCGCTCAAGTAGAAAGCAAATGTTTTAAGAATGATGATGGCAACAAGTGTACAAATGTGCTTGACACGAATGCATGGATTGTGTTGAGTTGTACGAACCCCCACTAAAGTGATTTTTTTTAAAGTTTGGACTCTATTCTAAAAACAGGCACTTGCATACGACACAGTGAAATGTACATCAAAGCCGTCTGCTTGTCACTAGGACTCCCTGCCATCGAGGTGATGACCGCTCTTAGCAGCCCCCAGGACAGGGCAGAGCTGCCCCTGTGGGTTTCTGAGATTGATTTTCCATGGGAGCAGACAGCCTCATCTTTCTCCTGAGGAGTGGCTGGTGGGTTTGAACCATGGAACAGCCCAACTAGAGACTAATTCTTTAAAGGACTAGAAAAACGCATTAAAAACCCAGCATATATACATGTCTATCTATATCTATAATGATAGGGTCACTCAGTGAGAAGGAGCAGCAGTGAAAGACTCATCTTTCTCTGGAGCGGCTGGTAGTTTTAAACCACTGACCGACCTTGAGATTAGCAGCCAGCTCATAACCAATATGCCACCACCATCATTCTCAAAATGTTTGCTTTCTACTTGAGACCTTGGTATCAGCTCCTCATTTTCCCCCTCCCTCCCCGTTCCCCCTTGATAATTTATAAATTATTATTTTGTCATATCTTACACCATCCGATGTCTCTCTTCACCCACTTCTCGGCTGTTCGTCCTCCAGGGAGGAGGTTATGTGTAGATCCTTGTAATCTGTTCCCCCTTTCTCCCTCACCTTCCCTCCACCCTCCTGGAAATTATACGTTGTTATGTTCATATCTTACACCGCTCGCTGTCTCCCTTTGCCCATGCTTCTATTGCTGTGTCCCATGGGGTGGGTGGTTATATGTTGATCGTTGCTATCAGTTCCCCCTTTCTCCCTCACCTTCCCTCCACCCTCCTGGAAATTATACATTGTTATGGGGTGGTTATATGTTGATCATTGCTATCAGTTCCCCTTTCTTCCTCTTCTTCCTCCACCTTCCCACTACACTCATGGTATCCCTACTCCCATTACTGTTCCCGAGGGGTTTATCTGTCCTGGATTCCATGAATTGAGAGCTCTTATCTGTAACAGTATACATGGTCCAGTCTAGCCAGATTTGTAAAGTAGAACTGGGGTCATGACAGTCGGGGGGAGGAAGCATTAAAGAACTAGAGGAATATTGTGTGCCTCATCGGTGCTATACTGCACCCTGGCTGCCTCGTCCCTTCCTTGTGACCCTTTTGTGAGGGGATGTCCAATTGTCTACAGATGGGCTTTGGGTCTCCACACTGCCTCCCCTCGTTCGCATCCCTATGATGTCTGATACCTGATCCCGTCGACACCTCGTGCTCACACAGGCTGGTGTGCTTCTTCCATGTGGGCTTTGTTGCTTCCCTGCTAAATGGCCGCTTGTTTAACATCAAGCCTCTGACACCCCAGACGCTATATCTTGTAATAGGCACTGTCCACGTTCTTCACCACATTTGCTTACGCACCCGTTTGTCTTCAGCGATCGTGTCAGGAAGGCGAGCATCACAGAATGCCAGGTTACTAGAACAAAGCGTTCTTACACTGAGGGAGGACTTGAGTAGAGGCCCAATGTCGGTCTGCTACCTTGGTACTTAACATTTAAATATATGTCCATAGACCTTTGTCCCTAACATTAAGTATCCATATGTTTACATATATCCATGCCTGTGACAGCCCTTCATTGCTTAAGTGACACAGGAAGGAATGGGTGTCCAGTTCCTAGGGTCTGTCCAATGTCAGCAGAATCCCCAGGGGCCACAGCTGGGACCAGTGCCCCAGAAGCGCTTCCCCAAGGAGGTAGAGCCCCGCCCTTCTGCTTTTGTAGTCAAGTTGGTGTCCACCTGCTGCCACTGCTTCATCCCGTGATCACACCTGACGGGATGAGCCACAGGCATTAAGGATGCAGGATCAATCCCTTTCCAAACCCAGGGATCAGGGCTCCCCGCCAGAGGGAGGGGGTGTCAGCACTGTGCGGAGACATTGAGCATCACCTGGGGTTGTCGTCACCATACCATCCACCATTGTAGATTGATGACCTATAAGCAGGCCTTCCAACTGGCTCAGTCTGGTCCGCTCCCCTGTGGGGAGTTTACAGCCCCCTCCACCCCCCTTAGGTGTACTGGGTCAGCCTCTACCTGTGCCAAGATCCCCAGGTGGTTCTCATGCACACCTGTGTCCATTGTACGCCACACCTTAGATCAGCGGTTCTCAGCCTGTGTCTCGCAACCCCTTTGGGGGTCGAACGACCCTTTCACAGGGGCTGCCTGATTCATAACAGTAGCAAAATGACAGTAATGAAGTAGCAACGAAAATAATTTTATGGTTGGGTGGGGGGGGGCTCACCACAATATGAGGAACTGATTTAAAGGGTCACGGCATGAGGAAGGTTGAAAACCACTGCCTTAGATGCAGATTCAGCATATCTGGGCTGGAAAGGTAAATTCTCACCAGGGGGTCAGCCCTGGTGAACTGGCTCAAAGCCCTGCCTGTGGATCAGGGCATTAACTAACCCCAGTCCACAGGTGACTTGGAGCTGGATGTAATACCTCAAATGAACACTGGGCAGTGCCAAGTGCCCATGTTGGCCTTGGAGTCCACAGCAAACCAACCCAAACTCAGGGCCATGGGGTAGATGCCAACTCACAGTGACCCTACAGGACCGGGTGGAACTGCCCCGCGGGTTTCTGAGAGCACAAGGCTTTACGGGAGAAGAAAGCCTCATCTTTCTCCAGAGGAGCGGCTGGCGGTCTCCCACTGCTGCCCTTGCAGGG